AATCGAATTTTTAGTGACCATTTTGTCTACACAAAAACTCAAAAACGACAAAAGCTAGAGTGCTGAAATTTTCAGTGATAATAGAGGACATGTTCTAGTTGTGCACCTCAGTTTTCAAATTTTCTGGAAGTGCCTAGTATGGAAGCTCGGTAGGGGTCAAAATTTAGGACATGAATCAAGAGTGAATTTTCGAGACATTTTTTATCATATCTTCAAAACTATGAATATTTTCTTAAAATACATTGAACAGAAATTGTGCAGAATTACTAGATCTTTAATATGATATCAAGAAAAAAGGGCTGACTCATCACATTAGGGGCCAAAAGGGGCAAAAAGTCTTAAATCCATAACTCTTTAACGATCAATATTTTGTTATACATTACTGAAGCAAAAACGTCTATCTGAACAATATACAACTATATATTATAATAAAAATCTCATATGTTACATAATTAAGGGCCATAAGGGGCCAGAATGCTAAATCTTTGACGCTTTATATCTCGAAAGTGGGAAATATTTTGATAAGCAATATTGAACAAAAGATGTTCAAAATAATGTTTTAAACAATATGCAACCTTTCAATATTTGCTAAACGTCCCCATTAAGGAGTTGAAGGGCCGGTCCCTAAATATTTCTTTTGCATATATCTCAGTAACGAAAAAGAATTTCTGAATAGTTGTTGAACAAAATGTGTTCAAAATCATAAGAGCTTTAAGGTGAAATCAAGAAAAAGGGGCTGGCCCCTCAAAATCGGGGCCAAAAGGGGCAAAGAGTCTTTCATCAATAACTCTTTAACGATCAATATTTTGTAATACATTACTAAGGCAGAATAGATCATCTTCACACTCCTTAACTATATAACGTTGTTGGCATCATATGTTTCGCTATAAGGGGACAATAGGGGCCAGAATCCTAAATCTTTGACGTTAAAAAGGGACATTAGGGGCCAGAATGCTAAATCTTTTACGCTTTATATCTCGAAAGTGGGAAATATCTTGATAAGCAATATTGAATAAAAGACGTTCACAATAACGTTCTGAACAATATGTTACCTTTCAATTTTTGCTGAACGTTCCCATTAAGGAGTTGAAGGGCCGGCCCCTATTATTTCTTTTGCAGATATTTCGGAAACGAAAAAAAAATATAGAATAGTTGTTGAACAAAAAGTGTTCAAAATCATGAGAGCTGTAAGAAGATAGCAAGAAAATAGGGCTGGCCCCTCAAAATAGGGACCAAGACGGGCCGAAAGTCTTTAATCTATAATCTTTAATGATCAACATTTTGTTATAGATTACTGAAGCAAAATTGTTTGTCTTAACAATTTATTTATATCATTATATTTGAACGAAAGTCTCAGTCAAATTCTTATCTCATCTTATCAAAAATCGGACGGAAGTCCCACTCGTTGCTCGCAACGAGATCGCATCTAGTTATTATTATTATTATTGTCAGAACCTTTACCACTTAAGTCTTACAGATTTATCTTTCCCTTGAATCAAATGTAAATAGCAGTTAATATCAGGTATTTAAAATCTTACAGTTGTGTATGATAAGTTCTTATGAGATTTTCCCATATATATTTCCTTATAAAAATTATAATTTTGTTTAAATTTTTTTGTGGCCCCCAACCTTTCCCAATTTAATTAATATAAAATTTTAGTTCCTATATCTTGTTACACAAGTCTAAGAATGCAAGCAGATGAACATCTTATTTTAATAAGATTGTGATTCTTTGGAATATTAATCTTAGCAATGTCCTCATTATCTTCTTACTTCATTGTCATTTTTATTAAAAAAATCCTAGAAAGGATTTTTTTGGTTTAGTCATCAAACACTTAGTAAATAAGTAAGTGAATAACAAGGATTTCTGCAATATTCATAAACCCTCAATAAAAAAAAACACAGGCATGAAGTACTCATTTAGTCTAAGAATAAAGTAAATTTAAAGCTCAAGTGAATAATTATTTTTATCAAAATAACACATGCTAGTGTAAAAATGTATTATAAATGATAATTATTCTTGAACTGTAAGGCAACAAAATTTAAGAGACAAAATTTGTACTTTTTCAATTTCAGAAATATTTCAAAACTTTCAAGTTTTTAAACATTACTTTTAGAAACATACTCCACTGATTATGTGTGCAAACAAAATAAAATTCGAGTCAATATCGACCAAATTCTTCAAGAAAAACATTGATTGTCTACTTAAAAAAATTCTTAAACTCCCAACCCTCTTTAAATGGCAATATAACAGCATATAACTTAATAACTTAGTACTTGAAAAGATCCCCTCCCCCCCCCCCCCCCAATAAAAAATTAAATCTTAATTTCTGCCAGAAATTAGTAAATGCAGAGCTTTGAAGTTCATTTTGAATTGTCATTCTATTATAGTCTAGGGCTAGCTGTGTATTGATCAAAATATTTCGATACAATACGATATGATATTTCATAAAGCAATATGCGATATATTGGATTCTTTAACAAATCTATGAAAAAGGTCTTGTAAATCATTTAATGCAAAAATTTTATAAAAACGGGATGTTTTATTACCAATTTGGAAGTTCATGTCTCACTCTCTTAACAAAGTACACTTCAAATTCAAACTTTTAATGACTGTAAAACTGAACATGTTAAAAAATAGTTGTCTATGTATTTTGCAATATTTATTTAAGATTTGCTATCTCCTTCATGTTTATTTCATTTTTGATCAGTTTTAATTAATAATAGTTAAAAATTATCATTGGTGACTGAAATTCACAACTTTTTCACAGAATTATAAGAAAAACTCTCTGCCCGATGCATATTGGAAGTTATTTTTTCGATACAATACATTCCTGAATATTGATACATATTGATTAATTGATATATTGATACAGCCCTTTTACAGTCATGACATCACTGAAAATTTTAATAATTTAATTATGAGGGTCATTCAAAATATATGCAGTCAATATCACTCTTCATGTTATTATTTTTACAAGATTTATGATCAACACATTTTCAAGTGCAAAAATATTTATTTTGTTGTTGTGTGAAGTTTCATTCCATTTGATTAACTAGAACTCTTGTTACTTAATTTTAAATTCAACAAAAATGTTTTGTCACCACGTACGGAGCACTCTCAACTATCATGACTATTGTTACATTGTAACGTCAAAAACAACGTTGTGAAAGTTACTCAATTGTCATTTCTCACACGGTTTGTAGCGCTTTATTAACTCATTAAAAAGGTCTCCATAAACTTGACAATTGTAGTTTGCTAACAATTGTTCAAGTAGCATAAGGTAAATAAAGTATCAAGAATAGGAGTAAAATAAATAGCTAATTATTGGATACCTGCATTCTTAAAGCGGGAAAAAGCATAAAACACAAGAAATAATACCTGAAGCGAGCAACAATAAGCGACGGTGTAAATTGAAGTTTTTACAACGATTGGATCTGTTATAATCTCTGGTTTATTCGTCCGATTTTTTTCAACCAGAGAGCTTTACAGTTGAACTGTTCTGCAGCTAATTTTCTGGTAGCTTATGATCAAAACTAAGTCTAAAACGTCTTAGAAATCTGTATCAATTTTAAATCTTATCTTCATGCATTCTTAGATAAAATGTTTTTTGGATATTTTTCATGCTTTTCCTCTCCATTCTCCGCTCTCGTAAAGCTTCCAGATTAGCACCCTGAATTTTACCTTGCAAGTGCACAAGATGATAAACAAGTTTGACCCGTTTTAAAGATGCGCCTTAATTATTATTTAAGTTTATTTTCAAAGACAGGTAAAAGTAGGTAGAAGTAGCTACTTTAAGTCGGTTTAAACACCTACGTAGCGATTAATAACTACGTTGGTAGAAATAGTCTTTGGACTTAACCTTGCCAAGGCCAGGACTGAATATTATCCCTGCATCTAAAACATTTCAATTTTTCCTTAAAATAATGCAGCACAGTCGGTGATCACATGACATGGACACCTGAGCATATAACGTTGCTCCATAACTTACCTAGGTATGCTATTCACAAGTATTGGTGCTCTAAAAATGAGTGAATGATCAGAATCTAGAAGAAAAAAATCTACAGGATATTCATAACGGGTTCTAAAATTAAAACTAACACTTAAAACCCGTCTTATTCCGAAATTTTACACATCGACGCAAATCTTAAAATTTTCTTGTTCTGAAACATTCTTAATTACCACCAAGATGTAATTAAGTAGGCCTAGTAATCTTACAAATGTAGCAGAAACCAAGCAGAAATAGTACCTTTTTTTTTTATCAAACTTTACAAATAGTTCAGTGTGCAAAGAGAGATAACTAGTTCATTGAAAAATCACAACCGTTGCCCCCCACCTGTATGGTAAATGTTCACTTGCTTGAATTTTTCTAACATTCATTTTTTTTAAAATTATTTATCTTTCTTTATAGATAAATTTTACTAATTGATCCAAGCAGACAATGAGTTGTTCTCCTTTAAGCGATACCAGGGACCTATATACTAACTATATACATATGTAGGTCCCTGGTGATACTCACCATCAAGGGTTATGGAAACTTTTTTTTATATAGTTTATGTTTCAACAATTTGTTTAGAATTTATTTTGCTTCAAAATACATCTGCAAAGGGGATTAGCTGGCATATTTACTAATTTACAAAGTGGATAGACATATCCTTCTTGTAATGCATGTGAAAATTAAATTTATAAGCTTCATTCCTCCTCAAAAATAAGATCTTATTTTCAAACAAGTATTTTAATGGGTGTCTGTATAATCTGCATTCTTAGAGAGTCATCCCAATTGATATTTCAGGGGAATAAGAGTATTTAGAAATTCAAATCTTCATAAGACTTTGAAATGACAAAAGTTCAACATAAACTCTTTACCCTTTTCTGATATTGAGCACTTTGTTGAAGTTCCTTTTTTTGAATTTGTTGTCCCATTGTCATGATCATATCATATTCCATTCATGCACACTTCAAGACCATTTTCTTCAGAAACTTTATTTTCAAATATGAACACATTAACAAATATGAATTAACTAACATACATTCTGAAGTACATACCAAGTCTTCCGATTTTGTATACATATATATGTATGAGGAGAACATTTTCCCACAATCCTAAAAACTTCAGTGAAAATTGTTTTAATCTGCAATAACCATTTCTTTAATGCATATTGCATATGTCAATAACACAAAAAATGCCATTGCTTTTCTTCCCACACTTAATCTTTTAAAATTCCAGGACAAAACGAAAGGTGTGATTTTTCTATCAATAGCATCATGTCTTTGCTTTTGGTGAGAAAAAGCTGGCCAATGATTTCATTCCAGACTTGTCCACTTTACTCAGTTTCTTCTGACCAACTGTCAGTTTACTGGCCTGTAAAATAAGTAAAGTAACAAAAATATTAAATACAGGCTCTTGTTTCCTCTTTATAAGGAGTAACTAACATGGAGGGGGGGGGGGGGGCTAAAACCATTTCAAATAGGAAATTTATGTGGAAAATGAAAGCAGTAACGTTAGCTGTTTTAAAATATATTTTAAACATATTTTAGATTATACAAATATAAAATATATTTTAAAGTACACTTTGCCTCTTATTCTATTCTGCATTGGAATTGTTAACTATAGTACAAGTGACAGTTACAAAATTAAGATAAAAGAGTTTCCAATCATGTAGAAATTTCTTACCTTAGCTGACTTGACCTCCGACTTGCCTTGGCTGTAGTCTTCTGTAGGGGTGATGTCATCCATCTTAGCTTTCTATAATCAGAGAGAAATTGTAGTGTAATCAGAAGTTTATACCTGCATCTTTTTTAAGCTAATTTATCAAAAAAATACTGTATACAGGGATATTTTTGCCCCGTATTATTTTCGCCCCTTTCACACTTGCAGAAAATTTTGCCCCGTTTTAAATTCGCCAAGTTACAGTTCTGTTTAAGAAATTATGCTGTGTTCTTTGAATTCGCCCCATTTTAAATTCGCCCATGAGAAGGACAAAAGGGGCAAAAATAAAACGGGGGGCGAAAATTTCCCTGTATACAGTACCGTAAAACAATCCCATCAGTCCTCTAACGCACAAAATGAAATCTTGATTTATGGTTCCTATTACCTTTGATGGAGGTTCATTTTCCTTTTTTTCAACAACCTCTGGAATTCTGTAATAAATGCAATGTTTCAAATGTCATAGCTCAGTTATTTTTATAAGGCAATTACATTTGACTTTATATTAAAGTAAATCATATTGTTTTCCAAATCATACGATCCCCTGTCTATCAGAATTAAAGAGTTTATTAATATTTTCACCTAAAGCGTTGATTTCTACTCACTTCATATGTTCTTTGAGCCTTGCACTAACATCTGTAGGAATGTAGTCACAGACCATTCCATAGGCATATCTAATGTAATCATCTAAAAATAGGCAGTCAATGTAAATTATGAGTCTAATGTAATCATCTAAAATTAGGTAGTCATTGTAAATTATGAGTTGCAGAAGAAATTATATACAGAGAATGTCAAAATTTTTGCAAACAGAAGACTACATCACATAACCTCATCTGGACTATCAAATACAGTTCCAACTCGTTAAACCACTGAAGAGCACAAGAGTTATCTCTCTTCACACATTTAAATGTTTAATAGTTACAAGTTTTGACTACAAAAATATTTTGGCAATCACACTTTTCAGTGAAATCCATGTTAAATCACTAATAGTCACTATTTTCCAATGATTTATACTTGCGATAATTTGTTTTAACTTGCTGAATAATTTTTTGGTGATGATATTAGATTACTGAGGCTTGTTTAATCTTTACCGTGTGTTGCTGTCATTGCCCGCTTTGTTCTGACATATGTAGAACTTTGTGCCCCTGAGACACATATCTCCCTCTCTGATAGTTTCTCTGCCAGATGCTCAATCTAATTACAAAAATTTAAAAAAAACTTATAAATTGAATACACTGACGATAAAATAGTTAAAAAAGATGGGGAAGGGGGTGTCTGGTGAAAACAACATTCTTTACAGGTACAGTAATTTAATTTTAAACAAATTATTTGATTATTTACTTTCGATTGTAACCATGACAATAATTTCTCTTCATTGTATCTGTAGGCCTGTAGATCATCACTTCCTGAAAACAAAATTTGATAAAATTAATTCATAAATTTAATTACAAAATACTTGCACACACATGAAGTATATCAATATTTGCTCTAATTAAACAACAAATAATGGAAAATTGTTAAAATTTTGGTAACTTACAGACATACATGTATTTGAATTAATGACACCATTTTTTGCAGACACCAACCTTTGATATCTGTGATGTTATGCAGTTCTGAGGTTCCTGAAGTGTTGACAAGCCTGCTGCATTCTGGGAAATCAGGGTCACAAACTATTTGATCCAGAGTCATGTACATTCCACGCTGACAAAATATAATTAAATTTTTAAATTATATAGCTACTATATATTTACAAATTACCGTGGAACTTCAGTATCTCTAACATCAGTATTTTTTTTTTTTTTTTTAAGATTTATCTTTCGACTAACAATTCTCCACGAGTTCAGCATCTGATAACTGTAGTATACTGCTTGTTTTACTTTTATATCATATAGATGGGAAAAAAATCATGTCATTAATGTTAAACTTCAGCATCATTTATGTATAATACAATTAAACTTCCATATCTAGAACTCTGATATCTTGAACATCATGGATATGCCACAGTGAGGTGGTAGCCCAAACACCTGTCTTTTTGTGTCTTAACCTCAACATCTCAATTCCTCGGATATCTCAAAGTTTTCTGTCGGTCCAAATTCAAGTTTGAGAGAACGAAGTTTGCCTGTACCTACCTCTTTAACTTTGAGGATGTAAGGAAGAATAAGAAACAGAGGATCTATAGGAGTTGTAATGTGTAGACTTCCATCTGAAAAGACACAAACACTGACTCAAAACACCTAATCTCTATAACTTATCATTAAAATATCCTTCAATAACGCACAATTAAATTTAGACTACATGAACTCATTTTTTGCTTTTCAGTGAGAAAACAGACTTGCCTTGTTGGACAGTGTTGTCGATTAACCAGGATCGACAGTCTTCTGAGAAAACAGAGACCTCAAACACATCTTTATCACCATTGCAAAAAAGAAACATTGCACTCCTGTCTGTATGGAATGGCAATTATTAAATAATCTAACATTGGATTTAGAGACTTAGTGTACCTGAGACATAGCCATATATAATGAAGCTGTATTTGGATGAGATACCAACCTGTTTTAGGATGTCGGAGTTTACAGAACGTTGTCTTGTTTTCATTATTGGGATCAATTTCTAATGCATCATCTTTAAAATAAAAAATAAATAAATTACTGTTAATTAATTTACAGTGTAATTCGGTCTAATAGATAAGTATGAAATAGATAAAAGTCAATATAACAAGAGGCCCAAGGGCCTTAACGGTCACCTGAGTATAATACAACAATTTAGAGAATCCATAGAGTATAAAATGAACTGAAAAGTGAAGCTTTGTTGCCCAAAAGCAAGAAAAATAGGGTGATCAGGTTCAACAAAATAATTAGTCTAGTGTTCATTAACAGTTCATAAATTAGGTTCTAATCTGTTCCCCATTTATCACTATCACCATACAGTATATTAACAAACTATCAATGCTTCTGTACTATTTTAATTCCTTGTTGAAATCTCTTACATTGGACTCTCTTGGTCTTTGATGAACATTGAATAAGACAAGTTATTTTTGTCTCATTTTTATTTATCTATTACTTACAAGTCTACCTGATCATAAAACTATGAAAGTACTTTTTGTATTATACAATAAAAAATCTTGCAAAATTCTCTTATTCTATTAACCTTTCAAGTACATTATTTACAGTGACTAATTATCAAAAGTAAATGGCAAAGGGGAATAACTCCCCTCAGTAGAATACAAATTAATAGAGCCCTGGCCAGGACCAGAACACTTGACAAAATGGCCCAGATGTTCAAAAATATTTATTAAAACTTTTACTCTTTTTGCCTCTGATATGCCCAGGTGCAGAGAAGATTTTCAAAGAAATAATGCAGTTTTTACTACAGATTCACTACATTATCAATAGAGCCCCCCAGCCCCCCCCCCCAACCTCCCATCCCCACCGAGAAACACCAGAGTCTCTCACCCTGGGACCAGAAGTTTATTCATCATACATGTAAGTAATCACTTTGTTTATCTGATTAACACTAAGGAGCAGACAGGATTATTTAACAGAATTAATGCATTTTCACTACATTATCAAGAGCCCCACCCTTACACCAGCACATCTGACCCAGGGGTCATGCAATTCACTACTCTGGAAGAAGTAATCATGCTCATCATAACTATACACTTAGCTTCTTTGCTTTTTAACCAGAAGCAGAAAAGAATATTTTCAGAGAAATTTTGCTTTTTCACTATATAATCAATAGAGCCCCCCCCCCCCTTTTTCACCAGAACCCTTGACCCTGGGGCCATGAAATTCACAATTTTGGAAGGGGCATACTTGCGTATCATAACAATGTACTAATAGTTTGTTTAAATAATACCCAGGCGCAGAGAAGAAGATTTTTAAAGAAATAATTCACCTTCACTATAGGATATATATGGCCCCGCCCTAGCACCAGAACCCCTGTACCTGGGGCCATGAATTTCATAATTTTGGAAGAAGCATCCTTGCTTATCATAACAATGTACTTAATTTGTTTAAATAATACCCAGGAGTAGAGAAGATTTTTAAAGCATTAATGCATTTTCACTATATGATTTATATAGCCCAGCCCTAGCACCAGAACTCTTGACCCTGGGGCCATGAATTTCACAATTTTGGTAGAGTCACTCTTGCTTATCATAACTATGTATTCAATTTGTTTCAATAATACCCAGGAGTAGAGAAGAAGATTTTCAAAGAAATAATGCACTTTCACTATATGATTTATATAGCCCCGCCCTAACACCAGAACCCCTGCCCCTGGGGCTATGAATTTCACAATTTTGGTAGAGTCACTCTTGCTTATCATAACTATGTATTCAATTTGTTTAAATGATACCCAGGAGTAGAGAAGAAGATTTTCAAAGAAATAATGCACTTTCACTATATGACCTATATAGCCCCGCCCTAGCACCAGAACCCCTGACCCTGGGGCCATGAATTTCACAATTTTGGTGAAGTCACCCTTGCTTATCATAACTATGTATCAATTTGTTTCAATAATACCCAGGAGTAGAGAAGAAGATTTTCAAAGAAATAATGCACTTTCACTATATGATTTATATAGCCTCGCCCTAACACCAGAACCCCTGACCCTGGGGCCATGAATTTCATAATTTTGGTAAAGTCACTCTTGCTTATCATAAATATGTATTCAATTTTGTTCAATAATACCCAGGGGTAGAGAAGAAGATTTTCAAAGAAATAATGCACTTTCACTATATGATCTATATAGCCCCGCCCTAGCCCCAGAACCCCTGACCCTGGGGCCATGAATTTCACAATTTTGGTAGAGGGCTCAATGCTTATTACAATCATGCTAACAGTTTGACTGCTTGATGTCCAGGAGTAAAGAAGAAGATTTTTAAAGATTGCATTAATTTTAGTGGTTTTTGCCCCACCCCTCAGGCCCCAGGGGGGCAGGGACCATGAAATTCACAAATTTTGTCCCCCTTCACCCATAGATGTTATATGCCAAATTTGGTTGAAATTGGTTGAGCGGTTTCAGAGAAGAAGCTGAAAACGTTCAAATGTTAACGCACGACGCACGCCGACGGACGAAAACGGATAGCAATAGGTCACCTGAGTGACTCAGGTGACCTAAAAATGTGTAAAATGTGATATAAATGTCTATCTCTCCCTAATCCAACCTTCTCAATCCCAATTCCCAACCCACTCTGAGTGAAGATGAATGTTTCAACAATAATATATATGCATTTCCCTTGGATTTCTTGAGGAACAAAACAATTTTATCTTAAACTATTAAGCTTGGGTTGATAAAAGTGCTCATTTCACTCTGGAAATAATGGCTTTCAATTAAGAAATACCTGTACCTGTAAATAAACTCCTGATTCAAACAAACTTTGTAAAGTACAGTAATTAATTTTACCCCATTGATCTTTAGAAATGACATTTACTCACACTCACATGAGGATAGGAAATTGCAAAAATGAATAAAAAAAATTTAAAATTCAAATGGCCTTCAATAAAGGAAATCTGACACTGTTTACAATTTCCACTGCTTTAAAAGATCTATTTAAAGCTCTTGTTTATCAATACACATACCATCCACAATAAACCCATTGCCCAACATATCCTGTGTAACACAGTCTGTATTTATTATTCTTTACAGTGCAACAATGAAAATCCATCAGTGCACTGCCTCAAACAACAATAGGATTGTACTGTAGTTTTAAATACTCAGGCCTGCTTCAATACAATGTTACCTTAAATAGCTGGTCTATTTAATTTGATACCAACATTATCTGATGTCCTTCTATATGTCTTGCCTATGTTGATAGTCTTCAATGTCAATCCAGTCAAAACTTTAAAGAATTTTGACTGAACTTTTAACCTAGGATTTTGTTCAAACCTGTATACTGAAAATCTGAATGGGAAAGAACTTTTCTGCCCATATATATTCAATTTACTCATGACAAATTGAATCAAAATATTCTCTGTATTCTTTTTCATATTAATCTTCGATAATACTGGAATGATAACTTCTAAATCAAACCTTAAAATCAAACTGTACCCAATTCTTTCTAAAACAAACTTTAATAATAATAAATAATCTTTGACAAAGCATTAACTTACAGGTTTAGATCAATCATGAATTTTGGCTTGAGCTGTTTCAGAATGACATGGACATAAATTTTCATAATTTTTGCTAAAACAGATTTTAACACCCAAATCCCTTTGATCTTTCCTAACTAGCTGTCCTAATACCCCATTCTGGGGATAGTATCAACAGAATAGGGGATATTGTTTAAGCCTACTTTAATTTTTTTCAATTTACCTTTTAACATCACAGGGCCTTAGTGTTGATCAAATGCTATTAGTTAGGATAAAACATACTTTCTGGTCATAAAGCAAAATTTGTGTTGAATCTGAGCTTCAGCAATCTTTACATTAACTAGAAATATGTCCATAAATTATGCCCTGCCCTGGGTTCATTTGTAATGCCATGAAAAGAAATGTATACCTTGCCTCTTTGTTAAATGATGAATTGCAAGGTCAAGGTCGTAGGGAAAGTTATGGGCAGAAAATTATGACACAGTTAAATTGCTCTCACCAATGTGTATTAGGGTATAAAATTAGCTGAAAATATTTCATAGATCCTTTGAAACTGAGTTTTAAATACAAGTATTAAGGTCAAAGGTCATATGGAAGGTCAAGGTAAAAAAAATGGACACAGTTGATAAGTTCTCACAAATATTTGGCAATTTATGTGTTGCTTTTGACCCAATGAATTTATATTGGATGCATTCAAGTTCGTAAATATCTAGCCTAGCAGCTAAGCTGCTAGGTTTATTAACTGCATTATTTGAATTAATGATGGACTGACAGATAGATGGATGGACATGACAAACACTAAAAAAGGCAAGCCCCAGTCATATTTATGGACGAGCATAAAAAATAATTCCACCACTGATCCCCATGACCTAGTCTCCTGGTAGAACAACCTTAATGTCCTGGGCTTGTTCAAGATCATGGCGGCTACCTAGGTCTGGGTGTATACTCTTGAAAGACATGCTAGCCAAGCCACTATGCTAAGAAAGGATAACAAGCTTTATTTCGTATAATGCAGTCTAAAGACCTAACAGTTAGCTTAGCTGCTAGGCTAAATATCTATATGATCTTGAATGCAGCCAATATTCATTGGGTCAAAAGCAACAATTATCAAGTATGACTATGAGCTTCTACAATATCTTCATTATTGAATTAAGGACCACAAGTTTAAAATTTTGATTTCAGTGACCTTTGTCCTTGGTCTTCTTTAAAGGGTCTAGGCTCAGGGTTGTGAAACATTACACTATAAACAAAGCGACAAGTTTTAATTGTATGTTCTTTAACATCCTATTCACAAACTTTTCACTCGTGTCAAGATGTCACTTGCTTAAGGTAAAGTGCAACAAATTTTGATCTATGTAGGGTCCTTACAGTTGTAGCCTATCCTGACACTGAACCTTGGTTTTCAATTTTTCATCCAAAGACCCATGACTTTCACTTTTAATGCCGAGCAATTGGTGAAGGAACAGTCAGTTACCTTAGGTCCTATGTTAAATCATACATGTCTTATGTTTGAAGCTCATGGACTGGTAA